TACATGTTAAAGACATTAACATCCAGAATATACTGGATTAAATAAAACATATCACAAAAATTAATCAGATTCTTTTCCCTTTCCTAACCCATTAGAAAACGGAGAATGATCCTTGTGGCTTCTCCCCGACCTGCCGGGCAGCACTGTTCTCCATCCTCACTGGCTTTCTAGCCTGTCTTTGTCATGGGGGCTGTGCTTTTCCTACAGAACCAAAGACCATCTTCTAAGGCTTTGGCCTTATGCAGGGATACAAGGCTCTCTTTAAGGCGCTACTGCAGGGGTACATAGGCTCTCCTTAAGGCACTACTAACAGTCATAGAAGCACAGGTTGACTTGCTGAACTACCAGGGCTGTGAAGAAAACTGATACTGAACTGACTAACTAATCACAGGGAAGAAAGTACAGGGAACTAATTACAGGGAAGAAAGCCCCCATTTCCTATGCTTAGCTCCAGGGCCTCTTGTTAGTCCTGGGGAGCTGAAAATACGCCCAAGATCACCAAGAGATTCCAAGAAGCTCTCAATCTCAAATCCAGTTTGAAGTATCCGGGCCTATATCACCCAGGAGTTATCAGTGAATTTTTGTTTGGTTTGTTGTTGAGCCAGGGTCTCACTATGTAACTCAGGCTGGCCAAGATTCATAATCCTTTAGATTTCTGAATGCTTGTGTTAAAATTACAAGTGTGAGCCATTATGTCAAACTTTAAATGGACTAAAGAGAAGGCTCCATGCTATTTTTTTACTTAAACTAATTTTAATTACTTCTTTTTAATATACTAAAATATTTAATGACTTTAACACAGAATTGATGTGTATATTGAAATATAGACATTTCCCTCAACAACTCAAGGCAAGTAGTTTATTTAAACTATTTTAATTTTAATGACTTATTTTTTTTTACTTCATTATTTATCCAGTTACAAGATATAGTCAGGAATATGTATCATCCCACATACATAACACACATTTGATCCCATACAGGTCTGCCAGGTCCTCTAGCACAAGGTAATGTAGAAATTAATCAATTATTGATTGGAAATGTGCTGAAGGCCTCAGAATTTCATCTAAAAAAATCATGTCAATATGATAATCTTGCAGAGGACTCAAACTTGGTTCTAAGCACCAACATTTGGCAACTCACAATCACCTGTAACTCCAGCTTCAGCAGATCTGATTCCATCCTTTGGCCTCAGAGGGCAGCCACACATGTGGCACGAATACACATGTACACATAAGCAAAAATAAAATAAAGGTAAAAAGCAAACCCTTAAATGTGTTTATTAATTTATTTTTGTCTATTCAATGTGTTTGTTTGTTGATTCTGGGGTTACTAGAACCAGCTTTGGCCATCATCTACACTGCCCAGCAAAACAAAAATTTTTAACAGAACTGAATTTTATCAAAAGACATTTTTAACATAGATGATTATATTTTTTTGGGGGGGGGTCAGGGTCTTGCTATGTAGCCCTGGCTGTCCTGGAATTTTCACTACGTACACAAGGCTGGCTTTGAACTCCTACAGATTCAATGCCTCTGCCTCCTGAGTGCTGGAATTAAAGGCATGTACCACTACTCCTGGTTCAACATATATTTTTAAGTACAGAAAAAACAAGAAAATAATAAGACATACTCAAGTGTAAGTATGAATTTCTTACAGGAGAGTCACCTAAATAACTCCCTCAGATTAATTTACTTATTTAATTATTTTTACTTATGTATCTGTGTCTATGTCTGACAAGTGCTGTATGTGTGGGCCTTAGGAGGCCAGAAGAGGGTGTCAGGTCCTCTGAAGATGTAGTTATAGGTAGATGTGAGCCCCTCAATGTAGGTGCTAGTCCTCTGCAAGAGCCCTTAAGTGTTGAGCAATCTCTCCAGCCCCCCTAAGCAAGCTTCATAAATGTTGTGGTCCAGGCTTTGTGTTCTTCAAAACTAAATAGAGAAGTAATAGAACAATGTAAAAACCCCATACAGGAATGCTCAGCAGAATTTCTTCTGAAGATGGAAACGTCCAGCATGGTAATTATTAGGCACACATGGTTATAAAATCTTAAGGAATTTAAATTGACTTGTAAATACATAAGACTAGTGACTACATATTTTCCTTTCCCTGTTTGTCTTTTATTTCCTTTCTTTTGTTTTTATCTTTGTAGTAGCATATTTTTAGTGGCTATATTTCATACAATGCAGTTCAATAATTCCAATGTTTCTCTTCCTTATATAAAAAAAGAAGCCAAGTATGTTGATGAAAAGATATAATCCCAGCACTCAAGAAATGAAGACCAAAGTAAGGTTTAAAGGCAGCCTCAGCTACAAAGGAATTTTGAGGCCAGCCTGTGCTGCATAAAACCCTGTCTCAAAAAAAAACAGCAAACAAATAAATGTAGGAAAATCAAGGGCATTAAAAATGGTACAAATTTGTTATTACATACAATGCATCCTTGATGTAATTACAAATTTGTACCATTTTTATTCTCCATCATCTTCTTTATAACTTTCATTAAATTAAAAATTACTAAATCATCAAATTCATTTTCCTATGTTTTAAGATATTATGCCTAAATTTTAATGAAACAATTAGGCTAAATGGTACTCTGAGTGAAAGTGATTTTGTTTTCATCTTGGGTAATGGGCATATAGCTTATTAAGTCCTCAAGAGTTACTGACTGCATCTGGGGAAAACAGCAAACAGTAATTTGAATAGACAGCCCATGATTACTGAACAGAGAAAAAAGGTGGAAGGCAATTAGCACAATGCTTCTGAAGTTGCCACAATCTCCCACTTCCCTTTTATTCCGTGTTCTGCTTTACATTACCTTAAAATGGCCAGATTTGAAAGCTGGGTGTAGCGGTACGTGACTGAATATTGGCACTCCCGGTGACTAAGACAGGAAGAAGATCAAGATTTCAAGGCCATACTGGGCTACTTAGTGAGCTGAAAGTCAGTCTGTGTTACACTAGACCAGACAAACAACACATAAAATGGTCATATTTGAAGATTTGAGATAGCACCGAACCTATGACGATGACAAAGACGACGAAGATAAGAATGGTCACTATGGGGTCTAGAGAAGTGGCTCCGGGGATCAAACAGCATACGTTGCTCTTGCACAGGAACTGGGTTTGCTTCCCAGCACCCACATGGTGGTTCACGACCATCTGTAACTCTGGTTCCTTTTTCTAACCTCCAAAGACATTCCCCTATGCATGCGCTGCGCAGACACACATGCAGGCAAGACACACCCAAATAAAATGAACAAACTTTTAAAAAGGAACACGCATGATCCTAAAAGGAGCTGCCAAAACTAAATGGCTAGGCATTGCCAACCTCTTGTGTCGGTCTAGGCGGCCTTCCATGGGGCTCCAAGCTGTCAGAAATAATGAGTGTGGTCTTTACAATTCACAGCTAAGCAGGGGAAGGATGGCTGGCAGAGGAGGAAATTTGCTCACTGGGGCAACAAAGGCCATAACATTCTCCTGCCTGAAAACAGTCTGGGGCAGTGTTACATGCCAAGAGCCAAACAAACGGAAAATGTGCCCCATTTCCCCCCCACCAACTTAGAAAGAAGAACATTAACTTCTCATTTATTAAGATACATGAGAGATTATTCAAGGTAAATCGACCTTCTCTGCCACTTCTGCCTGACGAACGCTGGCCTAATAACACGCAGACAGGATAGTAGATGGTTAACTTTCAACCTTCGGCTACAACAAAAAAGAGGAAAACTTTAGTAGCCAGATCAATATGACTAATTGTTTCCATCTTAGGCCTTCGACCACAAAGTACCAGAATTCATAGTAAGCCAGTCTGGATAGGATGTGGGCATGCTTGTAGGAAGCCACACCCAGCAACCAGAAATTTCTTATGACTCAGGCCAATTTCTTTTATTAAAAGACACCCAGTGCTGAAGGCAAGTAAGGGAATTTACAGTTAAAACAGATTTGTGGAGCAGTTTCAGAATCCTGGGCTTAAGCTAGATTAACACCATTTTGGCAAGCATTATCTTCTTTGCCCATCTTTTAATTTTATATATATGGGTTCAGGGAGAAACCTAGATCTCAGTGCAGGCCAACATTCAAAAAGTCTGTGAAAAGCTTTTTTTTTTTTTGATAGTGGAAATTTTCTCTTTAGTGCTATACTTAGCTACTTCATCTGTCCATAACCACAAATGCACACACCATCTTTCCTCATTATCTCAGTGGTTCTTATCCAGGGGGGCAGTTTTGTTCCCTAGAACTCACTGGGAAATGTCTACAGACACTTTTGGTTCTTCTAACTGGGGTGAGGGTAGGTTGCGACTAGGATCAAGGGAGTAAACACACTCCCCCACAGCCCTGCACCCATGCCAGGGGGGAAGAACCCCTGCAACACCATAGCATGGGCAATAGCTTGTGCCTCCAAGGGAGCCACAGGGCATTGAAAGACCATCTGCTACCTCATTTGAGCTCACGTGTTTACAGCAGAGCACACGCTGGCAAGCTGGTCCGCTAGAATTAACTCTGGGATTTCTAACTCCAGACAGAATATTTCGTTCAGAGCACGAAGACAATGACCCACTTGCAAAACTTAATATGCAAATTCTATAAATGTAAGACCCATTGCAACAGTTTGCAGTCTGTATGTCAACCTTAGTTGTTTTTCTTTAAAAAAAATAGTAAGAGATAAGCCTTCAAGACATCTCAAATTTTCATAGCCCTGTCTACTTTCAGCGTGACATCATTTAGCATAAAGATCTAAAAGAACTTTCCATGTCTGCTGTCATTACAGTCATGTTCACAGGTTTGGTTTGGTTTTTTGAGACAGGGTTTCTCTGTGTAGCCTTGGCTATCCTGGAACTCACTCTGTACACCAGGCTGGCCTCGAACTCACAGAGATCTGCCTACCGAGTGTTGGGATTAAAGGTGTGCGCCAACATCGCCGGGCATGTTCATAGTTCTTAAAGTGTGTAAGTTTCATTTTTTTTTCTGCCGACCTTTTTACTCTTAAAGGACTGGAGTACTCACAGGCTCGGTTCCGGGTTCTGTAAGTGCAGGTATAGAGACTGCAGGACCTCCGTGGCGTTGACCTCGGAACCTGGAACCTTCTCCACAGCAATGTACATGGAGATGCGTGCAGAATCACCCTCAGGTGATTCATCAGCGGCATCGTCAGCTTGGAATCTCCAGCAGTGGCTACACGCCTCAAGAGAGTCTAGAAACCTACAGGACGGAGGAAGGAAAGGTATACACCACAGGGAGTGGAAAGCCCGAGGACAGCTCCGAGAGGACCGCTGGAAAGCTCGTTCCCACCCCGATGTGGGGGTGGGGCGAATGGGAGGCAAGAGTTGATTCACTCCTGTTTTTCAAACTGAGTGCCTTGGTGGTATGCAGGGTTCAGAGGACTGACTCAGAGTTTGGCCATTCCCTCCGAGTTGGCAGACATTAGAGGCCAAGAGGAAAGATTCTCCTTCGCACACATAAATAAAGACTGTGGTACCTACCGTTTCTCAAAATTAAAAGGAAGTTTATTCCCTCAAATCCTAATTACTTACCCAGTATGGTATTTATATGCAGGAAGAAGTCAACGATTAATACTCCTTTCAGGCAGTCTGAATTTTTTTTTTTAAATTGTTTCTGGCTTGCTTAAAAAAAAAAACCAAATAACAAAAAAAACAGCACATACATCCTGCCAAAACAGCTCTGGCTGTTTTGAAATCTAAGTTTAAGTATATCTGTGGCTCTTGCCAGTTTTTAGTGTAACACTGGCTCGGGAACACAGACAAAACGAACAACGGTAAGTCTTCAACCTTGTCTCTACCACACACAGTCACAGTGACAGGCTCCGAAGCAAAGCTGTCCGAGGTATTCACCAGAGTCCTCAGTTTATGGCACCTGAACTCTGAACATTTCCCTTCCAGTGGTCCCTCACCCCTGCTCCTCTATGCTTCACCAACTGCTCCTGAAGACCCCTTCTTATCCCTGTAGCAGACAAGTTCTGAAAATAAAACAAGCAAACAAGTTGCTTAAAGTCCAAACATATTCCTAAAACTATTCTCTTGCCTTCTGCACCTGCTTAATCGCTGCTTATCACTTATGTGACTGACCACAGAGCCACTTCCTTAAAGGCTCCCTGGTGAACACTCACCGGGTTAGCCGAACCCCCTCTTGGTGCTTATCACAGTTGATGCAGCTGCAGCTCCATTCTCCCCGGAACCTAAGCTCCCTAGGGGGAGCATCTGTGTCTGTCTCAGTCATAGCTGCATTTCTTAGGGGCAAGGCCTTAAGAAAACATGGGTTTGGGGACAGGAGAGATGGTTCAGCAGTTAACAGCACCGGTTGCTCTCCTGGAGGACCAGAGTTTGATTCCCAGAACCCATATGGTGGCTCACAACCATCTGTAACTCCAGTTCCGGGGAATCCAAAGCCCTCTTGCTGGACTCCATAGACACTACATACACATAATGTACAGACATACGCGCAGACAAAATACCTGCACACACACAGTTTAACAAAAATAAAGCATGGGACTGAGGACCTGAGCAGGTTTCTTTGTGGTGGCGAATTGTAGATCCTGTTTTTTGTTTGTTTGTTTGTTTGTTTGTTTTTCGAGACAGGGTTTCTCTGTGTGGCTTTGGTGCCTGTCCTGAAACTTGTTCTGTAGACCAGGCTGGTCTTAAACTCACAGAGATTCACCTGCCTCTGCCTCCCAAGTGCTGGGATTAAAGGCGTGCGCCACCACCACTACCTGGCTTTAGGTTTTAATTTTAAGAGCTAAGAATTGCGGCACGGCAGCCCGCATGTACTGGAACAGTAGTAAGGGTCTTTCCTAGTGTTACTTTATTTTATTTTATTTTATTTGTTCCAGCATTACATATCCCAAGGTTTCAGGTATGCCAGGCAAGTGTTTTGGCACAGAGTTATACCCTCAGACCACGTGGCTTGTCTATATTTTTTATATACCTTTTCCCAGAAGCATCTCCTGTCTCTTCTGCTAGAACCTAAAAGATCCCGATGGAAATTAGAAGCTACCAGAGTATCATTCCAGTCTAGACACTCAAGGGTGGGAAGTCTCTCAACATTTTGTCGCTGTTTCAACGTTTATTATAATTTCCTTTGTTCCAGATACTATTGTTGGCTACTGTGATTCAAAGGAGGGGCAGAAGTCACTAAAACAATCTTGATTCACGCTATATGTTATGATGCTAGAGGGAAAGAAACCTGTTTCATCCCTGTTGCGGTCTATTTCAGCTTACACTGCCAGAGTCTAGTCCATCATTGAGGGGAATCCGGGCAGGAAGTCAAGCACGAGCTGGAAGCAGACCGCACAGAAGAATGCCGCCTGACGGCTTGCTCTGTCTCAAGCTCGGCTAGCTTCCTTAGATAGCCCGGGATTCCCTGCGCAGGGAATGGTTCTGCCCATGGTCGGCTGGATCCTCTGGAATCAATTAATAGCCAAGACACAGGGACAGACACAACTTGATAAGGATACGTGAGACTCACTTCTCCGGTGATCCTAGTCTGTGTCACATTGACAGGAAATGCTAAGTAGAGCAAACTTACATATAAAGGTCCATATTATTTAATCATTCAATCACCACTGCTGATTAAAGAAAAAAATATGCCATTAGGACATGTTTGTGTCAAATAAAGAAATTGGGGTGAACAAATACATTTTTTTTAAAGGAAACGGCCCTTCAGTTCTCCTTCAAATGCATTCCATGCCAGATTTGAGAATGGTATGACCTGCTAAACATCTGTTGGGCCCTGAGTATTTTGAAGATTGAAAAACATTGATCAAAGCCAGGGTAGTGCTTCATGCCTATGACTCCCAACTCTTTGGAAACAAAGACAGGAGGATCAGAAATTCAAAACCTGGACTACAAGAGACCCTATCTCAAAAAGGGGTGTGGGGGAGTTCTAGATAGCCCAGGGGATGAAGGTGCTTGCCATACAAGCCTTGGGACCTGAGTTAGGATCCTAGGAACCCACAGTGGAAAGACCAAACTGCATTCCAGAAAGTTGAACAACTTGTCCCCTCACCCTGACACATGTGCACACGCACACCCAGGCATCGCAGTAATAATAAATACGGATGTAAAATAATCTTGCTCAGAATGACTACCAAAACCCAACCTAACATCAGCTGCATGTCACAGCTGAAACAGAGTGGTGGTGGGGGGGTTTCTCAGCTACTGTAAAGTAAAATGCGCTGTCTTATATAAAGGCACGAAAGCGCATGCAGTACTGACATTAGGAAACTAGAGAGACAGAAGGCAGACTGCTGGTTGCTAGGGTGTAAGTGAAAGGGACAACAGCAACTGGTCACTTACTAGGAAGAAGGTGTTTTTTTTTGAGGTGATGGAAGATTTTGGAACTAATTAACTAAATAGAGGGGGCAGTTATACAAAACCGTGGACATTCTAAATGCTACTGCGATTTTCACTTAAAGAAGTTAGCTTTATTTCGTGTGACTTTTTACCTTAACAGTTGTATCTTATAAAGCACAGAAACAGGGAAAGATGCAGCAAACCCTACAGTTTCTGTCTCGGATGGAAGAAACAGCTCCCGACAGTTTGGTCTTGACTAGGGAGAAGAGGCGCAAAATAAGAAGAAAAGCTGGGAGATTTTCCAGATGTATTTCACTACAGACTTGAACGCTTCTTCCCAAGAGAGTGTTAGATGGAAAAAAAAAGTAAAAATACACAGAAAACTGGTATCAGGACCCACCCACTCAGTGCCAAAGCAAGGAGGCCTAGAATGTGACCTCAGCCTTTTCTCCCTCTTCAAGCACATCCCTGCCATCCAGAGACTAGGAGCTGACTCTTTCTTCTGTACCGCTGTCCTTGATCTTGCGCCTTTTGAACTAGAGGGAAGAAGGAAGACTACATGCAAGTAAAAGGAGAGAGGTATCACACCAGCAGTGACAGAGTGCCCAGTGAGAACAGGAGAGAAGAGTCACACCAGCAGTGACAGCGTGCCCAGTAAGAACAGGAGAGAGGTGTCACACAGAAGAAACTATGTGCCCAGTGAGAACAGGAGAGAGGAGTCACACCAGCAGTGACAGTGTGCCCAGTAAGAACAGGAGAGAGGTGTCACACAGAAGAAACTATGTGCCCAGTGAGAACAGGAGAGAGGAGTCGCACCAGCAGTGACAGCATGCCCAGTAAGAACAGGAAAGATGAGTCACACCAGCAGTGACACTGTAACCAGTGAGAATAGGAGAGAGGAGTCACACCAGCAGTGACAGTGTGCCCAGTAAGAACAGGAGAGAGGCGTCACACAGAAGTAACCGTGTGCCCAGAGAGAACAGGAGAGAGGTATCACACCAGCAGTGACAGTGTGTCCAGTGAGAACAGGAGCAGTTACTTTCTATAGTTACTCTCCAAGGGATAATCAAGGGTTCCAGGCAGAACAGTAACTGTCATCAAGCCATCTCCCCAGGTGGTTAACTGATCTCTCACCCAATCTCCAGCATGCAGTGTGCATTGCTTTGTCAAATGCACACCCTGGAACATCAAAGTGCATCCATCACACAAGAGGAGAGAATGAGAAGCTGTTTCTAAAGGCCAATGAGAGTCCTCACTTCTAAGCCTGACTCTACCTAGGCCATTTAGGTAAGTGATTTCTAAACCGTGTGCAAATTTGTTCAAAAGGTATTTGCCGGGCGATGGTGGCGCACGCCTTTAATCCCAGCACTTGGGAGGCAGAGGCAGGCGGATCTCTGTAAGTTCGAGATCAGCCTGGTCTACGAGCTACTTCCAGGACAGGCTCCAAAAAGCCACAGAGAAACCCTGTCTCGAAAAAAAAAAAAGGTATTTGAAATTCTCAAACCAAAGTTAAAATCAATTTTTTTATAATTTTATATGTTTTTGAGTGCAAAGCCCTACTCAATATTTAAACACAATCTTGTAAGAAATGTGTAAGATTATTTTGCTAGGGGGTGAGGCGATAGCTCAACCAGTAAAGTATTTGGTATGCAAGCACGAGGATTTGAGTTCAAATCTCCAGTACCCATGTAAAAAGCCAGGTGTCACAGAACATGCCTGCAATCTCAGCGCCAGGGAAATAGAAACAGGAGGATCCCTACAGCTTGCTGGACAGTCTAGCCAATTGGTGAGTTCCAGATTCAATGAGTGACCCTATATTTTAAAAAATGCAGTACCTGAGGAATATACACACACATTATCTCGATAGTGTCTTCAAACAAATAATATCTTGTT